CTGCTGAGTGTTGGCACCGCGGCGGCAGCGGCAAGCAGAAGAATCAGCGGAAAGGGAAAAGCAGCAGCCGCACTGTTATTGCCGTGGATCGGAGGCGGGGCGTCCTTCATGTCTGCCTCCCAACCCCGCGCACCACCGCCCCCTCATCCTCTCGCGGCGGAGGGTCCACGGCGCCCTGCGCGTCATCAGCGGCATCAGGGCCCTTGGGTCCCGTGGCTGTGGCACCGCCACCGGCCTTGTCGCTGGCGGCCTCATCTCCTAACGATTGTCCGACAACAGACGTCACACCATCGGCGACCACATCGTCGATGTCCAGAAGATCGCTTTTCTTCTCCGCCTCCTGCGGCGCACCCGCCGTGACGCTGGGCAAGAGCACTCCGTTGCCGTCGTGGCACCTGAGGCGACTTCCCTCTCCTCTGGCGACGGATGCTTCTGGGGAGCAGCCGTGTCCACATAATTCGGTGGTGTGCCGCGGCCGGTCCCAATGCTCTCTGGATCGGGGACGGATGCCCGTAGCAAAGCTTGTTCAGTAGCTGCCAGTGAAACCGTCCTGCTCCACACCCTCTCCTCGCCGTCCCACGAAACTATTGGAAGGAAACTGACGCTGGTGGCGGATATCGTGCACACCTGCGCGTGGTCACGGAAAATAGCTTTTCCCTCGTCGTAGGGCGGAGCAACCCACGTAATCGTCGCCTCGGCCGTGCACGGGGCACAACGGGCGTTACCCTCTTCAGTCCCTCTCAGACGCACCCGCATGCCGAGGCACCGCAATGCCGCATGCATGACAGCACCGAGATGTATGTTTCTTCCGGGTCCCTCGCATCCGTCGTGTTGGTGGGAGGCGTGTCCAGACACCACGAAGAGGGCTTGTCCCCAGGCACCGCAGACAAACATTCTCCCCTCCAAATAACAGCGGCAGCATTTCTCACATCCAGTGCGGGACCAATGACGGGGCAACTGTCCATCGGGCGTTTTGCTGACCCTTCATGGATACTCCGTCTACACACCAACCACTGGAATACCGATCCAACGTGCAGCGTCTCGCAGGAACGCCCGTTTTTCAGAACATCTGGGAATATTCACTCATGTTCGGTGCGGAGCACTTCCTCTGCAGCAGCGCACAGCACGAATTCCTTCACCAGCGCATCGGCTCCGCCATCTCCCACTCCACCCTCATGCAGCCCAGGTCAGCCGGTGCGGCCAGCAACAGCTCCGTGCAGTAGACGGCACAACCAATCGGTGCCATCCACTCATCCTTCGCGTGGCGCTGCGGCCAGTGCGACTCCAGCGTCCCCCCGTCATCATCGCCATCCTGCAGCTCCATGCCATCAATGTCGTCGCAGTCGCGAGGCATCCTCGCAGCCATCGCGGAAGTCGTCGAGTGCACCACCACCGACGGCACTCTGCCACGCACCGGCAATATTCCCCACCGTGCTGCAGCTGGCTATGTGCGGGTAGGTGAACCGACTGCAAACGCTGCCCGTGGCAAATGGGGGCACAATCAAAGGACCCTCCAGTGGCTGCACGAGCAGACGATCCGCATGCAGTTTGAAAGCAGCAGGAACAACCTCATTTTCAAGAATGATCCCGTGCGCAGAGGATACAACGTCACCTTCACACTCACAATTGCCATTCAATGAATTCATTGCGTGGTACCTCCCTGAGATCCAATACTTCCCGGTATCATCCAGGTCCCTTGTGGATACGTTGATGCGGATGGGCATCCATCCATCCCAATGACGGTGTATGGCTGCAGCGCACTCACCACTCAAAAAGGGTGCGTCCCTCCCAACAACGCGGATCCAACTCGTGGTGTCGGCACGCATCACATATTCAACAAATCGAGGGTACGTCAAAGTGACAGCAAAGCATCCGCTGGCAATCACACCATAAGCATCATCACATGCAGCAGCACCAGCGTCTCAAACTAATGTGGGGTGTAGAGCAAGTAAGCCATTGATGTGGGTGTTAGGCAAATATTTCGTGGCTCGCTGAAGCAACAAGGACCGATTGCGTGGGAAGAAACAAAGAACAGGAGAATACAAAAGGGAAAATTCAGCCATCCGCAGTTTAAGAAGAAAACCAATCAATGAAAGTAAAATGGGTGCACCCAACCACAACAGAAGCAAAGATTCAAGACAAAACAAAAAGCCGAAGCGTGGGACGACCAGCGCACACACACTCTCACTGCTCCCGTAAAGCAAAACACACACACACAGGGAGAGAGAGAGGTCGCCCACTCGGTGCAATAAAAAACAGTTACGGTGCTCCGCCCATGCAGCCAGGCAGGACGGCAGCGGTGCGTGTCGTGCAAAAGAGAGCACCAACGGGCCTGCATGGGTGTGCATGCATATATACAATGGGCACATTATGTGTGTGCCTCGTGGGGTGAGGTGAGGGCGAGAGTCCATGCAAGGAGACACACACAGAGAGAGAAGGACGAGTGTGTGTGCGGGCGGTGCACGGCTCTCTCTCCCTCACTCTCACGCGGCCACCACCGCAGCCGCACACGCAACAACAAGAAGAAGCAAAAGAGGGGAGGTGGTGTGGGAGACCGCGGTGCTGCCATCACTGTCGCCAGTCGTCGCCGTTGTATTTTTCATGGCTGTGGCTTCGACTGGTGTTTCTTTCGGATTGGCATCTTTATTTTCATTTTGTTTTGCCTCTCGTGTTCCTGAAACATCAGCTGCTGGATCATCGTCTCCAGTTGTTTGTGTGCTGTTGGGATTTGTTATATTCGATGCTCCCGCCGCACCAGAAGAGAAACTTGGCTGCTCTTGACTAACTGCTGAGGTCACCTCTGTGGTGCTGGCAACAACTCCTCCTTTCTTTGTCTCCCCCTCTTCCTCTTCGTCTTCTTCCACTTCCACCTCTTTCTCTTCCTCTGCTTCGTCTTCGTCGTCTTTCTCTTTCTCTTCTTTTTCCCCCTTTTTACCTTCTTGTGCATTTTGATCCTTGCTGCCCTTCGTTGTACTTGTCGTTTCTGATGCTCCTTCGGGTTGTATTGTATGTGGCGGGTTCGCTGGCACTCCCTGTGATTCTGAATTCGTTGGTGATGTGGGCACTTGTGGCGCTGCCTGTTCACCGTTTTGGTCACCTTCTGCAGCGCCACGTGTGGTATCATTCTCGTTTTGAGGGTTCTTGTCGGGCGAAGAACCCGGAGGAGCTGAAGAAGGCGCTTCAGCACATCCACCACCGCCGGCACCGCACCACAGCACGCAGAGGGCACACACCAGCAGCACACGGCCAGTCATCGTCATCGCCATCACTCCTGTCACTTGCGTGCAGCCTTCAGCACAAAATAACAACACGTCAACGCAGAGTGAAAGCAAAAGGAGACGGCCGCTACAACACGCACAGTCACCGTACAGCAACAAATGATAGCCGCTTGCACGCACCGTGGGGCAGACAAAATCAGTGTATGGGGGAAACACAAACACACAGCCCCGCAGCAATTAGTGAGAAAAAAAGGCACTTAATAACAAAACAGAAGTGAAGAAAGAGCAATAAAGTAAAAACAAAAAACAAACAGCTGCACCTAATGGCTCCGGTGCGCATGCATCACCACAAAAACATGCATCTACGCAAACAGTTGTAAGCGTGTCGTGCATATGAGTGTCTCTGGAATGCGTTCAACGTGACGGATGTGGAGAGCAACACGGAGCACACAGAAGAGCAGCGGAGGAAAATAAAGCAAAACACAATCATTACTTTCTCTTATTTATTTACATCGGACCACAGTAGACGCGCACAAATGTCCCCGTGGTTGAGTGCTGGGACGCACAGCCCCCACACAATTCGTTATTTCACAGTGGTATACACCATCGCGGATACGGCGAGCAGCAGCGGGGCACACACCCACGCAGAGCTGCTGAGGCTGCCGTCGATTTCCCGAAAACGTGACGGTGCGTGGGAAGTCGTGGTTGGCGCCTCTGCATTCATAGCCGTATCACTTGGTGCCTGTGTTGTATTCGTAGTAGTGGTCGTACTATTTGGCATTTTGATCTTCTGTTTTGATGTCGGTGCCTTATGATTCTCATCGCCTCGTGTATTTTACTGTGCCTTCTATTTTGTGCATCTGACATACCGGTCGCACCTTGTGTGTGTGTGTGGAGACTGAGTTGCCAAACCTGGTGGCTCTGGATTATCGTTAGCCGAACTCAGTGACTCTGGCGGAACTCGTGTCTGTCCAGTGATGGCTGTGCCTGCTTCCTTTGGCAACGAAGGTCCTGGACTTCTCAAACCCTCCTCGCTGTCTCTCCCACTCTCTGTCTGTGGCACACCGGTCTCCCCACCATATGGCTGTAATGCACCAGGCATATTTTTGTAGGATCCGGTTTCCCTAGCTCAGGGCTGGGAGGACGGCTGTTATCATTATTATCGTCTCCTGTCGCCGTCACGCACACGGACGAGCAGCAGCAGCACAAGAGCGCAAGGACCAGCACGGCGCCGCACCGCCACCATCGCAGTCATCATCGCCCGTAGTGGAGTCGCTGGTGTCAGTCAGCTGATCGGTGAGACGGAAAGGAAAAGAATGGAACGAGAGGGAGAGGGACGGAGCACAGCGGATACAGCGAGAGGGCGCAGACAACATGAGGAGAGGGCAGCAGGCCCAGCCGCACAGTTCACACACCACGAGGCGGCATCCACGCAAGGAAGGCACACAACGCCAGCAGCCACCCACCATGCAGGAGGAGAAGACATCCACCACCATCTCCCCCAGCTCATTCCCGCAGCCCCAGGGAAATGTCCAAAACCCCGCGGCCACCACGCAACGCACACGGAGCAAGCGAGCCCTCATCCATCCATGACGCGGTAAAAATTTCCTGCCATCCCGCCATCAATGGGACACGGAGCCCAACTCAGCGCAGTCACACGCGGTGCAACACACCCGCAGGAAAATAGACTCGGGCTGCGCTCCCTCTCTCCCTCCTCCTCATGGCCACGGAAGAAGCAGCAGCCACACGCAACCGCCAGCATGCACCACAACGGGTGCATTCAAATCCACTGCAATGTGCATCTTGTGTGTGTGTGGTTGTGTGTGCCTGCAGAAACACAAAGCAAAGAAGTAGAAAAGAGGGAGCAGAGTATGTGGAGGGACGCACAAAAATGTACAGCGGAGACGCACAACGGAAACAACAAGAAGAAGACCGCTCAAACTCATCACTGCACTGCAGCCCAAGCAGCGGCAATTCACACAATATTTATTGAAAACAAAAAACGTCCCCCTTCGTCTTATGTAAACCCCACCACACAAAATAATTATAAATGAAAAGAAATCGTCCATTACTGCTCCACACAAATTTAAAATAAGAAAAAGATCGCCTGGCTGCCGTGTGGCCACACCAAACTGTCTGCATGTATTTTGCCCGCAAAATAAAATTAAAAAGATGGTTGCGTGTGCTTCGACCGTCCGACCCTCCGTGTGTCCGCACATCGTTTATATTTCATGGGGTCATCTGCGTGTTGCTGCTCCCCTCAGCCCTCTCATCGGCGCGTGAGTGCGGCCCGCAGAGCACAGTCACTCGTGTGTGTGGGGACTGAGAGAAGCACGCAGACATGACGGGAGTCGCGTCACCCCATCGGGAGAGTGAGCGCAGCAAAAGAAAAAGAAATCATCGGAGGGGAGAGAAATGCTCACGAGGCCGACACCGAAGGGTGCGCCACCGCATGAAATAAACACGCAAAGCAAAAAAAATCCTTAAAGAAAAGCACGGCGGCAGGGCGTGGCTGTGTGTGTGGCGCTGCGGGTGTCTGCCCGCCCTGGCCGCAAAGAAAACAAAACAAGAGGGAAGAAATGTGTGCTCCGCCCCACAGGCCCTCGTCGCACGCCCACACGTCACGGCTCCCTCAGCGCGCCGTTCTTCGCGGCCCCTCCTCATGCGTGCAGCAGGCGAGGCGCACAGGGCCGTCGTCACGAGCGTGTCGGTGGGTGTGCGAGTGGAGCAGTTGGGCAGAAACACACGGCACCCCTCACAGGAAGAGTGCAGCAACAAACAATTAAAGAGGGAAGAGTAGAAAAGAAAAAACGTCCATAGTGATTGCCCCAAAAGCAAAAAAAAAAAAGAAGGAATGGGGATATAAAAACGCACAAAAAAGCAAACAGGGAAAAAGTAAACAAAAGTTATTAAAGAAGATAAATTAATTACCGTGTGTGTCGGTACTGGGTAGGTTGCAAGTGTCCCACGCGGCAGCCAGTCACTCCTCACAGAGCCGCGAACCCCCACAGTCCCAACAGAAGAAGCAGCGATGGCAGCAGTCCGCTCCCACGCACAGTGCCGGCATCGCTGTTATTCCCCTGCGACACATTTCCGAGGCTGCTGCTGAGTGCCGCAGCCTTTGCTTCCTTGTCTCGTGCATGGATGTCCTCCCCCTGCCCATTAGTTCCTCCTGCGACCTCCACCGCAGCGTCACTGCCAGGCGAGGAAGCGCCACCCACATTTTTGCTTCCATCGAAAGATTCTTCTGACGCCAACGGGGTTGCAGGCCCCTCTTCTCCTGAGGAATTCCTGGCACTGGACACTGTTGAAGCGGATACACCTTTCACATCACTGCTCCCCAACAACTGTCTCTGTCCCTCCTTTCCTTGACCACCAGGAGAAATCTTAATCACGGTTCCCTGAGAAGGCTCCTTCACCGGAGATGGAGTAGGGGCTTTATTCGGGTTGAGGGCGGCGATCTCAGTGTCATCCAACGGGCGGTTGTACAGCAGGACGTTCGTCACAGTCACAGAGACGTCTGCTTGGTTCCCTGCGCCGCCCGCACTGTTTCCATCCCCTCCAATGTAGAAGTGGGATACCGCTTTTGAATCCTTATTCTCCAATGCACACGCCTCATCCTCACCCACACGCTGACCATCGACGTACGCGGAGCCTTGGGTGCCATTCCGTAGCACAAGCACCACCTGATGTGTTGTATCCTTCTCCCAAGTGCTGCTGTGCTCCGTTGTCTTTCCGCCACTACACAGCACCTGCCACTTCTTTTCTTTGTTGTACGACAGTCCCAGGAGTACAGTCTTCCCGCTGTCATTCATCTGCACACCCATCAAAGGAATAGGACCCTCCTGCGGCTCACCGTCGATGGACACCGTCGCCACAAGAGTGAAGTTGTAGTTCGCAAAGTGGTACGGCTGATTCTCCCCCTGCCTGCCAACAGGCCACTCCGCCCACGCTCCTTTGAACGTCACTCCGCCGGCATGCAATGTTGCCTTATTACCTTCATCATTGTTCTTCACTGTGGCGTTCACTCCGAGGTACTCGTCCCTCCATGTGTACTCAGAGAAGTTGCCGGACAAAAAGCCAACCAGCCCATCCGTGATCCTCACAGCGGTGCTGCGGGCATTTTCAGGTGAGGCACTTTCTGCGGCACTTTTAGAAGGGCACAGCTCGGAGACACGGTCGTCCACTTTCTTCCACGTCGCCAGCACATCCTTCACACGCTGCAGCTGCGCAGTCAGACGCACAGACCAAAGACTGTGTGATGGTTTTTCCCCGTCCTTCTCGTACAGTGCAATCAACTCATCCTTCTCATTATCACCACTTCCAGCACTTTTGTACAACAGGGAGCTGGCGGCAGCGTCATCATCGGATACCGGCCCAATATCAACAATGTGCGTATTGTCCGTCAGCCAAAGATGGAGTTTTCCCTTTGAAGTGCCTCCTGTAACAGCTTTCTCGGGATACACCGGCAGAGTAACGAGCATCACATTTCTGTTATCTTCAACACCGTCAATCGTCGCTGTGATGAACCCGCTCCTAACGGCCTTCGCTTTTCCTTTTTTGTTGCTGCCCCACACGCGCGAGAGTGTCCCGAGTGCCTCCGTCCACGACTCCCCCTTGTCACCGGACTCGTACACCCTGCGGCGGCCATCATCACACGCAGTCATCATCATGAGTTTTTTGTCCTTCTTCTTCCACTCCACGACGGAGGGATCACTGCAGCCACCGTCAGGAATCTCCTTCGATAACTTCCAACTCTCAGCAGTATCCTCTGAACTGTATATGAGCAGTGAGACGGTCTTTCCGTCATTTGATTCACCCTTCTTCTCCTTCTTCGTGCCTTCCACTGGAAACAGGAGCCTACCGTCATCCATCTTAAGACCCGATCCACCGCCGCCAGTCAACCCTGTCCAGGAATCTAGTTCGTCAACAGATGCTTGCGGGACATCGGTGGTATCTTTCCAGTCAATTTTTTTGTTATTTTCTTCAACACTGTTGACTTTCCCTTTCACCAGCAAAAGTCCCCAGTCACCTGCACCCCTCTCCTGAGCATCAGCGGCATCTGTCCGGCTGTTTTTTCCAACAAGCATGTAAATATCTTTTCCCTTCACAACTGTTGTTGGTCGGCTCACATCTACTTTTTTTTTGTTTGGGGTAGTGCCTTCCTCCAGAACCTGTGCGTCCTTTTTGGCATCATTCATTATTTCCACTGGTGTGTTAGTATTATCTTTCGTGAGAATTTGGGATGCAATGCCAGTAAAGGTGTTTTCATCTTTCTTGCACTGCGCCTCGGCAACGGCAAACACGTCACTCCCCACTTTTAGAAGGCCGGGAGCACCCAACGACTCCACAGTTACACCCACCTCATCCTTGATGTCCTTCCATCCAAACTGGGGTTCAGGTGACTGCCCAGCAGCTTCCGCAGCACCACCAGCGTTGCAGCACATCATCACAAGAACGAGGAGCAGCACCGCAGAGTAGAAGAGATGCCGCGACATGTTGGGCCTCTGCCGCTCACTCTCTCCTCCTTCCCTCCTCCTCCCGCTGGATCCGGTCACGCGGCGACGGTTGTGTGTGCGGGGTGCCTTCACTGCAGCAGCACGTGAGAGCATACAAATACGTGTGTGTGGGCGGTGTGTGTGTTGTTGGTCCTTTCAGAGCCTTCGAATTTCACAGTAGCGATTAGCGTTTAGCCTTACTTCCTTTCCTTTGTGTGTGGAAAAGAAAGAGACGCAAAGAAAATGAGGTTAAACAGTGAGCACCGCCGCCCATCCACGGTGAGTGGCATCATCATCCCCGCCGCAGTCACTTCCAACAACAACAACTCACGCACAAAGACACACGGAACGAGAAGGAAGAACAGTGCACCGGGAACACACAGCGACTGCCACCAGCAGTAAAAGCCACAGCGGGTATCGTGTGCTTCCGCCACGCGTCAGCACACACAGAGCAACGCCCACACGCACTGCCGCCAGTCGTTTTACTGTTGTCTCTTCCAGCGCATCCATCGCACATCGCCCCGCATAGCCGGAGAATCCTCCGTCGTAAAATCCACAGCGAGAGGAACACGTCGGCACGTGCAGCTGCTGGGCAAGAATCCATGCTCACCTTTCCCAGGCACCCTCAATGCCACACCACGTTAGTCAACTGCTGCACTTCGCCAACACCACAACCGCAGCAAGTCCAGGGGACGCACGGCGAGCTCACACCCTCCCTCCTCGCAAGGGCCACAGAAAAATCGTGTGCGTGCGTCCTCAGCGTTCACACCGCCCCACAACGTGTGAAACATGGCTTGTATGTATGCATGGCGTGTGTGTTTTTCAGTGCCTATACTTGCAGAGCAGCTGTACGGAACACAAGAGAGTCTGAAGAAAGCAACGGCAGAGAGAGGCAGATAGCACACACGCAAATTACTCATATCATCACACACACACACACGCAGCCGCGGAATGGGTGCACTCAACCACAAAATCAAAAAGGAAAACAAAAAAAAAAGCCGAAGCGTGGGACGACCAGCGCACACACACTCTCATTACTCCCGTAAAGCAAAACACACACACACAGGGAGAGAGAGAGAGGTCGCCCACTCAATGCAATAAAAAAAAACAGAAACAGTTACGGTGCTCCGCCCATGCAGCCAGGCAGGACGGCAGCGGTGCGTGTCGTGCAAAAGAGAGCACCAACGGGCCTGCATGGGTGTGCATGCACATATACAGTGGGCACATTATGTGTGTGCTTCGTGGGGTGAGGTGAGGGCGAGAGTCCATGCAAGGGGACACACACACACACAGAGAAGGACGAGTGTGTGTGCGGGCGGTGCACGGCTCTCTCTCCCTCACTCTCACGCGACCACCACCGCAGCCGCACACGCAACAACAACAACAAGAAGCAAAAGAGGGGAGGTGGCATGGGAGACCGCGGTGCTGCTGTCATTTTCGGCAGGTGTCACCGTATGATTTGTGTTGGCGGTGACTGTTGAATGTGGTGCTGCATCATTCATTTTGACGGTGTTGCTCTCATTTTCTTCGGGCAGCGTAATGGAAGTTGTTTGAGTGGTAACGGCCGGTGCGGCTGTGGAAGTTTCCAAGGGTTGTTCCAAGGAAGGAGTGACATTTTCAGGCTCCTGCCCCTCTTCTGACGGTGCGACAACAAGAGTTTCAGCACGCCTCGAATCATCTTCTGTGCGCTCCCCACTATTACGGCTGACGACATCGTCGTTACCCGAATGAGATGGCGGATCATTACTCTGTTGATTTTCAATTGATACATCCTTATTGTCCTCTTGACTGGGTGAAATCCCAGGTTTCCCTGGTTGACCGTCGGGTGTTCCATCTTGCCGTCCTTCGCCCGATGATTGTGAATGTGTTGATGGAACCATATGTTCGGGGTCGGATTGTGGCTGCTCCGTTGGTGATTCAGGCTCTAAAGCAGCTTGCAATTGCGGGTACCCGGCTGCGGAATTCCCAACGTTGTCCAACCGTGATTGCTGTAAGGAAACCACTTCCGCCTCACCGGTCACCGTATGACCGCTGGCATTGCCGTTAACTCCAGAACCACTAGCAGGATGAACAAGTGGCTCGACAGCAGGTGGCACCTCCACGTCACAGCTACCTCCGGCACCGCACCACAGCACGCAGAGGACACACACCAGCAGCACACGGCCAGTCATCATCATCGCCATCACTCCTGTCACTTGCGTGTAGCCTTCAGCACAAACTAACTCCCCGTCAACGCAGAGTGAAAGCAAAAGGCAGAGAAAAATCACAAAGAAATACGCACCGTAAACAACGGCAGCAGCCCTGCAGAGGAACGCACACTGACCTGCACACCAGAAGTAAAAAACCGATACCAAAACAAAAAAAGTAGTTGAGTGCCCAACAGGAGTCTCCTCCTCAAAAAAATACGCTTCAGCAGAATCATCATTTCATACGCCATGCAGTAATGCAGGACTGTGTTTATATGTACATGCGTACAGTACCTGCACAAGGAAAAAATTATTACTGTTCCACAAGCCCACACAACATCCCACACATTTCATGCGGCATCCGGCCTGTCTCTCCACTCCTCCTTTTGTGTCGTCCGTGGAGCGCACAGCCGTGGGGCCTGTACTGCGTGTAGGCAACAGAAGCAATCAAGAGGGAAAGCAATTCGCTCATGACGGTGCGCAGCAACCGACCATTAAGTAAAACAAAAGAAAAAGGTACTCCCATTGCTCCATGTAAACAACATTAAAAAGAACATCAAAAAAAGAAAGCCCGCAGGGAACGCGGTAAATATTCTCTGTGAGAAGTCGCAACTCAACACTCCGTGGCTCAGAACACTGCCACAACCACACACAGTCCCAAAAGCAGAAGCAGCAGTGGTGTTTCCACACACGAGGTGATACATTCGCCACTGCTCACCGTCGGGAAGGACATGTCACCTTCAAAAAAGATTCCTCTGCTCGCTTAGATTTTTTTGCTTAAAGAAGATGTGGTCTGTGTGGCGCTGCTGCACGCACCGCTGTTTGTGGGCTCCTTAGCGGCGGGGCGTGTGCTCGAGGACCATGGATACAGTCCCATCGCCCGTACACATCGGTGGTATTGGACGTCATGAGGTCATTATATTTTTTTCCTACTCTTACCAGCGCGTCTAGCTATACAATGCCATCTGGGTGCCGAAGAGGTGGTCGAGCAACGACAAAAGTTTCCTGCTGTGAAGCAGCTGCCATTGAGAGAACTTTCCGAGGCGAAGGTCCTGTTCAATGCCCAGTCGTTGACGCACAGCCAAGGTGCCTGAACATCCTAGAAGCAGATGGTGCAAGGTTTCCTGCGGGCCAATTGGCGTGCTTGTGGAAGCTGGCTGATCCTGCGGCAGCAGAGATCGCCGCCTGGCACTTCTGTTTAAATGTCGTGTGGCGTCTGGGTTGTGTGCGCAGCAACTTCTGTGCGGTGCGGTGCTTCTCCGTGTGGGGAAAACCATGTCACAGAAATCACATTTGAGCTCGGGAAGCGGTGGAGGATGTTCCGGATGAAATGACCGACAGTGACTGACGAGACCCGAGAATCCCGTCAATGTAGAATCACAGTGCGGACATTTCTCCTTCCGACGGCGTGTGACGGTTTGTCTCCTTACTGGAGAGACGTCTTCATCCCTCGCCGACGGGGGAACAGTGTCCGTCCCAGTTGCAGTTTGATCTTTGTTAGAGCGCATATATGCAGACTGTTCCGGTGAGATGTTGCAGAAACGGCATTGGTTCGTGCAATCTCTCACGGCCCAGTATAGTCGGCCCCAGAGCTCAGATTCCCCGCACCTTGCCCTTGCGAGGTGAACCAGTTCCTGACGGTGAAGAACTTCCTGAGTGATCAGGTCCTTACCGCTGAGATCTGATGGCCTTGTGCCGCAAAGCAATTAGCGGTGAGTGTCTTGACGAATGGTACCACGCCACTTGTTGGTGAGCTGGGTAGTGAAACATGTCAGCAGATCCGTATGCCATAAGGTGCGATTCCTTGCTCCGTGTATTGTCCACTTTCCATAGTCTGCGTCGCATACTGATCTGCAAGCTCGTTAGCATGTACTCCGCAATGTCCGTAACAAAACTGCAGGTGCACGGACCAGCCGGCACACGTCAGTGTTAAGAGACGCTGCCAGATCTGGTCCTCCGTCCAGTCGGTCTGACTGGGCGGGCCCCTGTTTAGAGCCGCTAGAAGAGACTGACTGTCCGTAACCACAAGCAGGGTTTTACGCCTGTGGCGGATACGAGGAATCATCAGCTTCTCTAGGGCTAGAAGCAGCGCACGGGATTCCGTCCTGTAGCTGCATGGGCGTGCACCGCAGTTTATGCTGGCCTTTTCTATTATCTTCGATGAGTTGAGGGATGAAAGCAGTATTCCAACCCCTGCTGACTTGGGAACGTCGACACCGCCATCGGTCGCGAGTATCCACGAACGATGGCTGTGCAGCGCCAGAGCCTCTTCGCTGACTCTGCGCCTTTCCCGTATCAGCTCTTCTTCGTCAGTTATTGAGAGGTCTATCGGAAGTTCCACACCGATGGTGACCCGGTGAGCGGAGGCCGCAAACCAGGGAGGAATGGAGCTGCGAAAGAACCGCTCTTCGCGTGGCGAGCTCTCGGTGATGCCATAGTCCTTTGTGTATGCGTCTACGAAGGCATATAGCTCGTCCCGAGATAATGGCGAGATGCGGAAACCGGCGCGAGGCGGTGGCTCAGGCGGGGGTCTCCGCATCCAGTCCATCTGACATGCGAGTGTGTTCTCAAATATGGAGAGCCGCGCGCGCAGGCAAAGGACGTGAAGCGGCGGCATATTAGCCTCCAGTAGCGCGGATTCCGGGTCGACAGTGCTCGGAACTCCGCTGACAGTGCGTGCCAGAGTTGCGTACGTCTTCTGCATCTCATTCTTCGCTGAATCCGTCGCTACTGCCCATATGAGGTCGCTGCCATAGCGTAATTTGGAAGCACCGTATCCAATGGCGAACGTGCGTAGGTCATGTGGAGATGGTCCCGCCTCTTTGTGCGCTATGCAGCGTAGCTGCGATATCCTTTGCGAAGTGGCAGCGCATTGCTTGGTGGCCGCCACATTTAGCGTCAGTCGTGGATCGAGATCCATGCCGAGAA